GTCTAGAGAGATTGCAATCAGACGGCTCAATGTGTTACTATCTAATCACTTCTCAAAGAAGGCGCCAATAGTCATTTCAGAGTTCAGAAAACTCCAGCCATTGCTTATCTCTTGCCTTAAGGAAGAAGGCATCTCTGACAGTGTGTTCAAAGTTCTAGGTCAGGTGGTGAACCACGTTGCGAATGAAATGTTTGTCTACCAATATGAGTCATGGGATGATCTTCGTGACTACTTTGCATTGCAAAGCGAAACAGAGTTTCGGAGAGCGGTTTTTGTCTTCCAGTGCTTAACAATACCTCTTATTGATGATGATTTTTTGAATCCTGTGATAAAGAATCTTTGTCCAGTGATAACTACAATGCTAGACCCACCAACAGAGTTGTTGGTAGATAACAGTTGCTGGGTCTTGGCGTTTACGAGTGCCTTCTGTGCGGTTATTCACATGATAGAGGACCCAGGTTATGCTGAATCTCCTAAGGAGATTGCATATAAGATGATAGAGTCAGTGAGAAAGCTTGTGGAAAGAGAAATGGAAGTTGGACTTGTAAGGAGAGCTTTCAGAGATGTGGAAGCTATTGTCAAGAAACAACTGGAATGGTACAGTACAAACGAATACAAATTCGTTAAGGGTCTGCTTTGGAGACTTTATGCAGTTAAAGGCATAAAATGGGAAAGTAAGATTGTGTTGTGGAGAATCAACGTGATTGTCGAGAGAGGAGTGAAAAAAGTGGAGAAAGAGCTGCCAAAGGAGGATGAGTTTGATTGGCTTAACCTACGTGATGATGATGATGATGATGATAATGATGATGATGATGATGGTGATGATGAAGAGTAAGATTGTATAGTTTTTGGTGTATAGTTTTAGTTGAGGAGGTTGAATAGAAAACTAGTTTTTTGGTGTATAGTCTGAAATTGTGCATAGTCTAGTTTTTTTTGGTGTATAGTAGTTTGCAATGGAGAAGAATATTGTAAAGGAAGAGAAATATAGTTATTGAAACACTTCAAAATCAAAGCTTCCCATTTTCTTTCAATCAAACACTTTTCACTTAAAACAAAGTGGTAGCATTAAACACCAAATATAAATCTACAGAAAAGTAGAAAGAGAGTCAAAAGAAAGAAACTGATGTGAAGGGAATCAAATGAATTGGATCTTGCATTTGGAAGAAGCTGCAGCAAGGAGCTTCATTAGTTTCATTTGTGAAGAACTTATCTTGTTCATCCACTTGAAGTCTTGAACCTTAACTTTAACCTCTCCAAGACACTTCAAATTCTCTATGAAATGTTTCATTTGTTTCACTTCTCTACAACTTTCTCTTCCTCCATACCCATATATCTTTAGCACCTTCAATCTGAACCTCATAGAGAGAGAGAGATAGAATCCGTACCCCATCTGTTTGGTTTTGCATATATGTAATTACAGTTCTGGTAATGCTATATAACAGGATCTACCAGGAGCACTCGATGATGCAGCTGTGACAGAGGCCTTGGAGTTGCACAAGATAAAGAACCGTCAATTGGCAATTTTCAAAACTTGTGCTGTGAAAGGCCAAGGACTTTTCGACTGGTAAGCGCATGAGAAATAATCCTAGAAAGTTTTTGTTCAGCAAAACTCTCATATATGCATGCTTCTTCTCCTTCAGGTTGAGTAACACCTTGAAATCAGGGAGTGGCTAACATCATCTCTCACCACAAAGCACAAGTGTGTAATCATATTCCCTAGTGTTGCATTCTTGGTCCAGAGAGTTGATAGCTTATCGATTATAGACAATATCCACTTAATTACCGACCCATTATAGTCGATATTAACCCATAAGGATTTACTAAAATACCACCTCATTTCCCAACTAATGTTGTTCTCATCTTATATGTTCCACACTACCTCATTTTTTAGTAGACAAAATGTTTTATTTTTCACATCGATGAACTCGCTGGGATGTATGAAAAAACAAGTAATTATTCGGTCACACACGTACTATGAGAAGCTAAAGTGATCATATTCATTAGGTATTTTTGAGGTGAGTCATCTATCATTAGATTAATCTAAAAGTTTAAGAGCAGCAACAGAGTCAAAATTATGATAGACATTTTAATTTCGTCCGATTGCAGAATGTGTAATCCGGATGCTGAACATGAATCAACCTATGAATCCAAACGAGGAATGTTACAAAGCCTTGACCTACGACGATTTCTATGAGAAGATCATCGCTCCTCTGATTCAAGTGAAGGATCTTCGTAAACAAGGCGTAACTAACCTGCTTGTTTGCAAATATAACAACCATTACACCTGCCATCGTCAGAGATGGTAATCTTCTTACCGCAGAATAAGACCATCAAAGGTACCTCCTGTTTCTTCAGATTTGGTTTGGTCTCCAAGTCATCGTCTAGGCTTTCTTGCCTAAGGTAGTCTTCGTACCTGGAATATCAAAAACCCTTGTCATCTCTCCATGTATACCAAAACCTTCTTTTGATAACAAAAATCAAAAGGTAAATAGTTAAATCCCTTACCAAAGCTTCTCTCCATGTATACCAAAAACTTCTTTTGACATGCAGACTGCAAGGTTGTACCTAATTAACAAAAATATCAGCGTTAATCTTCTGTAATGACATCAAAACTATACCAATAAGTTAGAGACACAAATCTCCACATGGAAAGTCAATTTACTTGGGTCGGAGTCGCATAGAGCTATCTCAGCTACGTCAAGAAAAATAAATTGACCCATTAATGCTTTACTTGTACACTTCTTCTGTGAGTGTGCCTTGGAGAAAGACATGATTGACATCAAGTTATCAAAGTGACCAAGAATGAATTTTTGCGTGACCAAGAACAAGTCTTGTTGAGGTAGACTTGATTACTGAACTAAAAGCTCTTAATAGTCAAGGTCATATTCTTGATGAAATGCCTCACCAATAAGGCGAGCTTTGTACTTGTCGAGATCACCAGTTGGAAAGAGTTTCATCTTGAACACCCATTTACACGAGATGACACGAAAATTTTGTTTACAGGAAAATTCCTGAAAAAACCTCGACTTATTTAATTAATATATTCGCCAAAAAATACATAAACTTTGTTATTGCCATAAAAAATACTCAAACTAATTTAACTTGGAAATAAAAAATATTGTATTTTTTTCAGATTTCCCCAACCAAATCGTCAAATGCTGTTAATTTTATTTACATAAATTTCTTAAATTTTTTTGACTTATTATAGAAATCCTCTAAAACCTTCCGTTCTTTAGTAATATCAACTAAAATCATGTTATTAATGGGTAAGTTTTTTCTAAATTGCTAATGCTTTTTTTCAACATCTATCATATATCTAGATCCGATGTGAACAACAATAAATTAAAGAACTTTTACCCACTTTGTTGCCGAAGGTTCTTCTTAATTTCTTAAATTTATTTTTGTTTGCATCGGATAAAGATAGATGTTGTATGTTAAAACTAGGATTCAAGATAGATCTAGAATCAATTTTGAGTTTTATAAGAGGATACAATCGGTTTTCTAGCCATTCTTATTTATCACGTGCAAAGAAAATGAGAAAAAGTAATGGTATTTACTATTTGATTAACCTTGTTGATAACCATTACGACAAAGTGGGTGAAATTGGTAAAAAAAAAAATAGGTCGTGCTTTTTATTTTAACTTTAAATTGACCTGTATATTTTTCTTGCAGCGAAAGAAAGTTCAGGTATTGTTTTGACAAATATTAAATAAGTCACGTTTTCTTAAGAAATTTTTCTGTAAATAAAATTAAAACGTTTAACCAATTGGTTTACACCGTTAACGGTCGTTACGGTGAAGAGAGGTAATCAGAAAAAAAAAATTCAGATCATGTTTTTTTATTTCCAACCCAAATTAGTTTGTGTATTTTTTGGCAATGAAAAAAGTTCTCTGGCAAATACTAAAGAAGTCAGATTTTTTTCGAAATTTTCCCATTGCTAATTGAAATCCAACAATTGAAACAAAAACAGATTAAGAGAATAGAAAGTGGATTTGAAAATTTAGGAGAAATAGCTTTTTGTTTTTAGATTCTCAGGTAAAAAAAAATGAGACATAGAATCATTTACTTCCGTAACATAAATATTTTGTGTCTTTCACTTTGTTTTGTGTTTGTCTAATTTCAGGATTTTTTATTTTTTAATTATTTTTTTCCTTTCCAAAACTGTGGATTATACATTACACTTGTATAGAATATTTCCCAGTAGTATAATGACGAGCACAATTTAATAGTAGACAAAGTTGTCAAACAATGTTTTTTAAAATAATAATATACAGTACTATCATTAAACTTTGTATTTATACCACAAATTCAAGCTTTGCATTTTTTTATTGATGAGTGTAAATTAATAAATCTCTTTTAGTAACATATATTTTTTTTTAACAGTCATAAGATTCTCAAAAAAAAAAAATCTGATTCATTTAACATAATAACAACGTTGTACATAAAATGTATACAGGTTAATAGTTGTGATATATATATTAAAAAATTAACAATTCAATATTAATAGAACAATGGTAATAAATATGAAAACCTCAAACAATAACTTTAAATATACAATTTTTTTTAATCAAAAATGAAATAGAAAATTGCCCCGCTGTGCAAACTGTATGTTTATAACATTTCAAAAATGAATATTATAACAAAATGCAAACAACAAAATTTTTTTTTTTTATAAAAATACGCTACATATTGTTACTTAATGAATTCTATGTATTTGCTTATACATTTTTAAAATTAAAACCTAAAACATAATAATAGTACAAGATATCTATATATAGATTTAAATAAGTCAAAACAAAAAGTTATATTTATAAATTATTTAAAAAATAAACAATATAGCGTGCACAGCGGGTTAGTCTCTAGTTGATAGCGAAAAAGCACACACAAAACCCTGTAATAAAACCCCAAGTTTTAATAAAGCTTCCATCTTTATCTCCTTCTCGAAAGCTTCTATCTTTATCTCGATTGATAAGCCTTTTGTTTTATCTCTTTCTGTAATGTGATGAATCGGAACAGCCTATACGAGTCTGATGATGATGAAGAAGAAGACGACTTTGGAGATGACCTGGAAGAACTAAGACGCGCATGTACGGTCTCGGTCTCTCACGCTGGTTCCGACAAATTCACTGCAAAAACCGATTCTATTGAACCGGATGGAGGTGGTGGCCGCGGGATAGCGTCGGATTTCGAAATGCTTAGGACGAATGTGTCCCTCCCTCTCATTGGTTTATCTGACGATGAAGAAGATGAAACCCTTCTCGCTATACAGAGGCGATTCTCTGCATATAAAAGTTTTGGTGAGCTCAGTTGTGAAATTTGTTACTTGTTTTGTTTTCTATTTGGGTTTAGCTACTGATTCGTTAGATATTGTTTCCGTGTTACCCGTTTTAACTATCCAATCATTGTTCATGATGCTACAATGTGGGTTTGCTTGTCATTTTATCCAATGTTTCTTTGTCTTTGTCAAATATGTTATGCTTTAGTGTTCATTTCTTACTATTTTTTCTGCAGATCCCGAAGGAAATTTCATGAATGATTCTCCCAGGAAGAAAAGGCAGGTACAAGATGGCCATTCTGTTGAGGTGCATGAAAAGACTTCCATTGAGCCTCCTGACCACCTGAAGACATGCCAGTTACCTCTTAAGCCAGCTGCGATTGCAAGTTTCCCTGAAGCTGCACAAGCCTTTGTTGATGCAATCCGGAAGAACAGGGCATATCAGCAATTTCTTAGAAGAAAATTGGTCGAAATTGAAGCAACCATCGAGCAGAACGTGATACACCAGAAAAATGTTAAGATAGTAAAAGATTTCCAAGGTTCTTGCAAGAGAATAACTAAACAGGCACTCTCTCAGAGGAAAGATCCCCGTGTCAGATTGATCTCAACACGAAAATTTGAGCCTTGTGATGGTTCCGAGGTAATACTTTGATCTAATTTTCCTTCCTCTGCTGTTTTGTAGTCATTAAAAAGTAATGCTTTGGCTGTTGTCTGTTGACCCTGATGGAAAATGTTTATCATCTAAAATTCTGTCTTTCGTTTTTGGTAGGATAATGATGAAAAGATATCTCCTTCCATGTTGGGTCCACGGGAAAACCCCTGTGTTGCAAATTATAGGATGGCACTAGAGAAATATCCAGTTTTAGAGGAACGCAGAAAATGGTCTACTGAGGAGAACAAAAACCTTGCAAAAGGTCTAAAACAACAAGTTCAAAAAATACTGCTTTCTGAGGCTATTGAACAGTCCAGGTACTACTTGCTCATCCTCTTTTTAAGTGCTATCATATTCTGGTGCCTAGTACCCTTAAACCTGCTGCTGCTGCCTAGTACCCATATTCTGGTGACTTAGTTTAAGTTTTTCTCGTTTTAATTTTTCCAAAAGAGCTCACTGACAGAAATTTCTTAACAGTGACTGGGAAGGATCTACATATGATATAGACACCATAAACGAATCGATCGGAAATCTTGAGATCACACCAGAAATGATTAGGCAGTTTCTTCGGAAAATTAACTGGGATTCGTTGGATATCAAGGACCGTTCTTCTGCAGAATGTGAAGCTCGGTAAGTAGTTCCTCCTTTATTTGAACTCTGGTTACTAAGATAAATCAGCTTTCAATCATCTATGGGTGCACATTTCATATACCATCACCCTGTCTCTTATTTTGAGATTTCAGTGGATTTTCTTAACTTGTGCTTCATTGTAGGTGGATGAGCTCGGAAGATCCATTGATTAACCACGCTCCGTGGACTGCAGCAGAGGACAAAAACCTACTCCGAGTTATCGAGAAAAAGAGTCTTACAGACTGGCTTGGCATCGCGGTATCATTAGGGACAAATAGGACCCCATTTCAATGTCTGGCTCGATATCAGAGAAGCTTGAATCCAAGCATATTGAGAAAAGAATGGACTGCAGAGGAAGATGACCAACTTCGTGCTGCAGTAGAGTTATTTGGCGATAAAGACTGGCAATCTGTTGCAAATGTATTAAAAGGAAGATTTGGAAAACAATGCTCAAATAGGTAACTTTCATCTTCTATACTCACACATTTTTTTAACGAAATTTTGATATCAAACTCCACAGAATGTTGACAATTTTTTTTTTTTTTTTTCAAATGAAATCTTAAGAGTTAGCCTGGCCGCTTTCCCCCCATCTACCAAATGATATGAATCTGTTTATATATAAACCACCCATCAGGTTCATGTTTAGTCCTTATGGGATTATACATACCCTCAATATGCACACATTGGGGACATTTCGGTAGGATTTACAATGCGTTACAAGGTTATTTTGTTTTTTTCAATTTATGATACTTGTTTCTGTACACGATTGAAAATATTTGATCTCATTTTCTTCCTCTCTATGCTTTCAGATGGAAAAATTCACTTTGCCCTACCAGAAAAGGGAGATGGAGCTCAGAGGAAGACAAACGTCTGAAAGTAGCTGTGACACTCTTTGGAGCTAAAAATTGGCCGAAGATTTCTTCGTTTGTTCCTGGACGGACCGCAAGTCAGTGTCGAGAGAGATGGCTAGATTCTTTAGAGTCCAAAAAAAATTGTGGGAAGTGGACCGAGGAAGAGGATCAAAAGTTGAGAGAAGCAATTGCAGTACACGGATATAGCTGGGTCAAGGTGGCTTCACATGTGTCTCTTCGTACTGACAGTCAGTGCTCGAGGAGATGGAAGACTCTAAATCCTCACCTAGTGCAACTTTTACTAGAAGCTAGAAAGTTACGAAAAGAAGCTACTGCAGGTAATTTTGTTGATCGGGAATCAGAGCGTCCTGCTTATATCGCAGGCCCTATTTTGGCACTACCAGAGATATCTCTAGCGCCAGAATCCGATATTGCAGCCCTGGAGAAGAAACGCAAAGCCAAGTGAGCAGGCAGAAGAAATCAGACGCATGGGAACAACCAAAGAGACGGATAAAAGAATTAGAGAAATCTCAGAATTGCCAAATAACATAGTTATAGTCAGGCACAGAAGAACCCTAATGAGTAGATATCATTTAATTTTGTCTTCATGCAAAAATGTCTAGGTTTGTTGATTGTACATATATTAATCTTCTTATAATTAAAAGAGAAGTACAAATTAAAGAATGCCCAAAATCATTAGTTTAATAACTTCTAATTGTCACTCAATTATACATCTATGAATTGACTAATTAAAACTGAAAAAGGTAAATTAGAGATCAAAACATGAAAACAAAGCATCAACAGCCCATGTATACATTAGAATCTTTTTAAATTAATACCCGATAAATGAATAAACTCGATAAAATAATAAATTTTGCCGGTCTCGAGTCAGAATAGTGTAAAACTAAACCAAATTCGATAAGATAATAAGATAATAATTTTTTAAAAAACCAAATCCCAATAATATCTATACTAGTATAATCGCAACACTTTTTGTGACGGGTGGGTAAAAAAGCTTTCGGGTATATCGGATATCCGACCCATTTAAAAATTCCTTCACAAAAAAATTGTTGGGTCGGGTTATATTTAACTCTACTCATACACCGGATATTCCATATTTAATAATTTAGATTTTTAGAAGATTTGATTAAGATTTATAATTATGATTCTCCTATCATCTTTGTTTGGTTTTTTTTTTAACTGTTTTGAATCATCATATAATACATAAAGTAAAAAAAAAAATCAATTTTTTTTCTGCATATACTGTGATTCGAAATTTTTAAAACGGACATATATTATCCAATTGACGAAAATGTGTGTTCAACGTTCTACATCGATTAAAATATTTAGACAATGATTCAGAATCATATCATAAATAAGAACATTAATAAAATAAATGAGTTTTTTGGCGGGATGGGTTTGGCGGGACAGGTTTTTGAATCAACAATAATAAAAAGATTAAAATATCATTAATCCGCCGCTTCAATACGGATTTAATCCTTATTTTTTTTTAATATAAATCACAGGACGGATTAAGAAATTACGGAACGGGTTATATTTCGGAAATGATTTATATGGCGGACGAATTTGAATCAATATTTATATACCGCTTTAATACGGGTTAAATCCTCAGTTTATTAATAATTATCTCGTGGATTCGTGGTATACCGTTACTTAATAACAATTGTAAACTATAATATAAATAAATATGTTATAAGGAGATACAATTTACAAAATATTTTTATACGAACTTTAAAATTAAATCATCCCGCGGTGTACCGCGGGTTAAAATCTAGTCATAAATTAATAATCATGTAAATTTGCACTATTATATAAAATTTACATTATAAGGCCAGAGCCCACCTATAGAGCCCATGAGAAGAATGGGCAGGCGCAACAAGACAATCCCAAGAAGCAAGCTCACTGTGCAACTAGACATGTCAATTAGGGCCAAAGCCCGCGGGCTAGCCCGGCCCAACCCTGAAAAATAGCGGGCTCGGACTTCAAAATATATGTCCAGAAAAAATCGGACCTTTCGGGCTAAGCCCGGCCGGGCTCGGACTAGCCCGAAAAACCCTTTAAAAAATATTTTGATATTTTTTTTTGTTAATATTTTCGTTTAATTGTAAAAATTTTTTTTGATAGAGTTGAAAACTCTAAACATAGTTTTTTTGTTATGTATTACTATAAATCGAAAAAGCAAATATTAGTTCTATGTACTACCTAATTTGAATTATTTTGATTTTATATTTTATCTAGTATAAGTTTAAAAAATTTATTTGGATTATTTATTAGATTTTAACTCTCCTTTTTAAAAACTAAATTAGCGTTAGTGGTTATTTAAATTTTGATTGACTCGTTTTATATATAGATTCTTTTTTAAGAGATATTATAAATTACAAGTTTGTTTTTTTGTTGTCGGAAGAAAAGCCCAAAAAAGCCCGGAAAAGCTTTATAGCCCTGTTAGGGCCGGGCCGGGCTTTAAAATATAGGCTCAGAATTTTTACGGGCCGGACCGGACCGGACTCAAATATGTACGGGTTTTGCGGGCTTCAGACCAGGCCGGGCCGGACTAGCCCGATTGACATGCCTATGTGCAACGACTACCTCAGTCAAAAGCAAAAGCTACGCATACAAAATGTGTGTATAGAGTACAGCAAGACCACCTCATCAAATCCAACTCGCAAACAAATTTGGAGCGTTATCTGATCATGAGCCATGAGCTGTCACTGACAGTTGTCAAAACTATCCAAATTGTCTCTAGATTATTCTTCTATTTTCTATAAACACCTCTCTATGTATCAATGACCTAATCAATGAAATAAGAATGCAGTTTTAAAGTTATCAAATTTTCTCTGTTATTATCTCTGCTTTCCTGGTATCAAAGCCATGTAGGCTCCTTCTGATTCTTTCTCTCCTGCAACATTAACGATTTCTCAATGTGTCACTCTTAACCTCAATGAGAAGAATTATCTGTCATGGAAACTTCAATTTGAGAAATTTCTCAATAGCCAACTCCTACTGGATTATGTTACTGGAGCTATAACCAGTGCCGGCTCAACAGTGTTATAGGCCCTAGGGCAAAAAAATTTTAGGCCCTTAGATTATTATTATTTTTTTTTTGTGTTCTTTGTGTTATATAAAAAAATTGTATGATATTTTTATTAAAAAGTTAATTATTAAAACTAAAAACAATGATAAAAAAATTTATGGGCCCTTCTAAATTTTATTTTTATGTTGTAATTTATAATTTTAATACTTTTATAAAAAAAAAATTTTAAATGGGCACCTTAATTATTGGAGTACGGGATTGGACTCCTGGCCGTCGCACCGCTCGCCCCCTATTTGAGCCGGCACTGGCTATAACAAAACCTTCTCCTACGATAGATGTGCGCAATGGATATCAGGTTACGAAGTCAAATAATCCAGAATATCTTCGTTGGTTCGCACCGACCAACTCATCATGGGGTGTTTGTTTGGATCTCTGTTGGAGGATGTCTTGAAGAGCATCTACGGTCTCTGTTCTTCCCAAGAGGTATGGTTCTACCTTATAAAGAAGTTCAATCGTGTTTATTTAACTAGGAGGCTAGAATTGCAACGAAGAATTCAAACTTTAGCTAAGGGAGATAAGACTCTTGCTCAGTATCTAGCAGAAATCAAAACTCTCTGTGACCAGTTAGACTCTGTAGGTTCTCCGATCTCCAAACAAGAAAAGATCTATGGGGTTTTAAGTGGTTTAGGAAGAGAGTATGAGTCTATAACCACTGTTATTAAGGATTCGATGGATAAGATCCTTGCACCATGTTTGGATGATGTTGTGTATAAGTTGACCAAATTTGATGATATGCTTTAAGCGTATCAAATCCCTACAGAGGTCACTCCTCACTAAGCATTCTACACTGACAGAGGGGGCTATTCTGGTCGTGGACGAGGCCAAAACAGAGGAGGATTTCGTGGCAAGAATTCTTATTCAACACAACGACGAGGTTTTCCTCAACAGTTTGGCCAAAGCAGTGGCAGAGGTTCTTACTCAGACAACCGCCCAACGTGTCAATATGTGGAAAGTATGGTCATCCGGCTTTCAAATGTTACAAACGATTTGATCAATCCTATCAAGTGGATGAAGCTTATCACGCCCTTGCTGTGATGAAAGTCTCAGATACTCATGGTTGTTCTCACAATCCATGGTGTGCTGACTCAGCTGCTACTCATCACATCACCAACTCGCCTCAGAACATGCAGTCAACACAACAGTATGATGGTCTTGAATCAGTTATGGTTGGCAATGGGAGCTTTCTACTAATAACACATCTGGGATCTGCAGTCATTTCGACAGTTACAAGTAATCTTCTTCTTAATGATGTACTTGTCTTCCAGATATTGCTAAATCATTGCTCTCTGTCTCCAAGCTCACTGATGACTATCCATGCTCATTCACATTTGATTCTCACACTGTGTATATTAAGGACAAGCAGACAAACCAGAATTTCAGTCAAGGCAGAAAGCATAATGGTCTCTATCAGTTGGATAATCCCTAGTTTCTGGCTTTCTATTTGTCAAGATAGCAGAGTACGAGTGATGAAGTTTAGCACAAACGCCCGGGGCATCCAGACCATCAAGTTCTTCAGTATCTTTCTTCAATAAAGGCTATTTCTTTCAATAAGACTACCCAGTCAATGTGGAATCATGTCAATTGGGAAACACTTGCAAGCTTCCCTTCTCTAGATCAAATTTTCAGTCTACTAGACCTTTAGAAAGAATACATTGTGATGTTTGGGGTCCTGCACTTATTGTGTCAGTTCAGGATTTCCGATACGACGTTGTATTCATTGATAAATATTCAAGGTTTTTTTGGTTTAATCCACTCAAACTCAAGTCTGAAGCATTCTCTATGTTTAAACAGTTTCAACAAATGGCTGAGAATCAGTTTGGTAATAAAATAAGTATCTTTCAGAGTGATGGTGAGGGTGCGTTTGTCAACACTCAATTTCTGAAACGTCTTGCAGACTGTGGCATCAAGCATTTTATTTCATGCCCTCACACACCACAACAGAACGGTCTAGCCGAGAGGAAGAGTAGACATGTTGTTGAACTTGGTATGTCAATGCTATTCCAGGCTAAGTTACCACAAAATCTCAAGGTAGAGGCATTTTTTACTACAAATTTTCTCATTAATCTTCTGCCAACATCAGTTCATGAAAAGATTGTTAGTCCTTTTGAGAAGTTAAGTGGTACAGCTCCTGTCTATACATCTTTGAGGGTCTATGGATGCGCATGTTACCCAATTGGCCAAGGAGAGATTCCCAATTTCTTAAAGAGTTGAAGTTGATAAGATTTTGCAAATAGTCCATGAGAATCTGCATTCAAAAAAGAGGTGTGATCTCGTTTCTAGGAAGGAGTTACAGAGGAGGTGTTATAGGGAAAATGAAGAGTAGCTGACGTGGAGAGATGCTGAAAGATGATTGGCTGAGAGGTGAACAATGAGTTGGCAGCTGTTGATTGGTGCGTTGGTTTTAGGAGAAGAAGTCATGAAGCTATAAACAGAGTTGAAGATCATTTACAGAGAACTAACCAGAGAAATCATTTTTAGTTGTATCTTTTCTTCTTCTTCTTAGTTTGTTCTGAGATT